TATTACTGTTATCATCATTATCATTATTGCTATTATTATCATTATTAATATCATTATCATTAGTATTATTAGTGTAATCATCATCATTATTGTTATCATTATTATCATTAGTTTCACTGTTCTTTTTGTTAACGTTATCATCATTATCATTAGTTTCACTATTAGTTTTGATATTGATATCATTATCAGCTGCAACAGCATTATTGGTATTATTATCATTATTGTTATTCCTTTTTTATTGTTATTTTTTATATCATCATTATCATTATCATTACTTTTATTATCATCGTTAATCTCAGTAGTAGTAGTAGTAGTATTGCTATTGTTGTTATTCTTACTATTTTCATTATCCTTCTTTTTTATTAATGCTATTTTCTATTGTTATCTTAATTATTATCTTTTTCGCCATCAATATAATTATTATTGATATCATTAACAAAATTATTATGATTGTTATTATAATTTTTAATATCATTACTATTACTATTTCTATGATAATGATGATGACAACCATCATCATCATCATCATAATAATCTTTATCATTATTATCATTATCATATTTATTATTGTTTCATTCATTGCCTTTAATTGTTCAATCATTCAATCATGATTATTCTAATGATAATCATGACTGTTATTGGATTTATCATTATTAATATTATCATCATCGATATATTTTTTTTCTCGACATATATATATTTTTTATCATTATCATTGTTATTATTAACCTCATCTTTAATAATTATTTAATACTAATCCTTACTATAAATATCATAAGAATTATTATAATAAATATTACTATTAAATTACTATATCTTCATCAATATTACCTTATCAACATTATTACTATTGTTATTATCATTATTCTTATTGTTACTTTTATTTTCATCACCACTATCATTATTATAATCATTATCATTGTAATCAACATCATCATTACCGTTATCATTTTCTTTATTACCGTTATCGTCATAATGAAAATAGTAATAATAATAATAATAATAATAATAATAATAATAATAATAATAATAATAATAATAATAATAACAATAATAATAACAATAACAACAACAACAACAACAACAACAACAACAACAACAATTTAGCGCCAGTCTGGATGGAATTCCAGAATTCCGGCTTGGTGCTCGGCGCTCCACTGGACCCTCACTGCCTTGTGGGTAACACCTTTGGTGAAAGGCTAAGGGAGTAAACCCTGACAGAAAACAAATCCCACTGCTGGGTGGGTTAGATGTGCCAATCTCCAGCTAAGGGAGCCAACCCCTACAGAAAATGGATAAGGGTTTCAACCTTGACAGAAAAAAAATACTCATACACACATGATGAATACAAATGATGTAATACGGACTAATGGCGTAAATGAGAGAGCCAGCTCTCGCCCGGCAATGGTGCTGTGGAGGACCAGGCAGCCCAGAATCGTCATTGAAGAGACAGCTAATCAACGTAGTTTTCGAGAGCAGATAACATCAAGATTATGCAGTGTTATTACCGCAGTGAACCAAACAAGAGAGGCTACATGCAGAGAATGGATAAGATCTGGAAAGGCAGAGGTGGATGCACACTGATTACAAACAGACTGACAATGCAGGCACGAGTGATAGTAAACAAAAAGTGGTTAACATCTGAGGAGCTTGACGAGATCAAAATGAGAGAAATTGAGATTAATTGAAAGGGATGGAGAGGGAGACGCTGCGGAGATGACGAGAATGGCGGAGGCAACTGAAATCGATAATGGACCAAGAAGTGAGCAACAACAACAGGGAGTTGATAACATCAGGGATGTGACATTGCTAACAGAAGAGAAGAGGAATCTAGTTGAAAGAATAAAGACCCAAAGAGATGGGCTGCAGATGATGAGAGAAGAGTTACCCAACATCAGACATGTGGACAAACGGAAGATCACAGAGGAGTTGAAGAAGATAAACAAAGTCATAGAATTTGTACCGATTGATAACTTCACAGAACTGAATGACAACTATACGAGTGCAGAGATAGTCACAGAAACTGGCTAAGAATAGGAAGGAATATGAAGAACCACCATGGAAGCGAAGGCTGAAATAAGGGTGCAAGAGATCCAAAAAAGAGATAAGCAGAGTAAAGGAAGCAATGAACAGGGACTGCAATGATAGACTACGAAGAAAGATGGAACAAAGGCATGACATCAAAAGAAAGGGATTCCAACAAGTGTTTGTGGAGCTGAAGCAGAGAATGACATCAACTGCTGCGAAACTAAAGAGGTATGAGGACAGGGTGAAACAATACCAACAAATCCGGATGTTTGATAACAACCAGAAAAGATTCTACAATAAGTTTAAAATAAGACACGGGGAACAGACCAAATACCAGAGGAGAGGAAACCAAGAGATTCTGGAAGGACATTTAGGGACAAGCAACTGAACATGATAGAAACGTACCATGGATTAATAGAGTACAACAAAAGCTGGAAAGACCAAACAGACAACAAGACGTGAGAATAACAAAAGAGATGCTGAAGAAAGCGCTAGTGAAGTTACCAAACTGGAAAGCTCCAGACCCAGAAGCTGTACAAGGGTTTTGGATCAAAAACCTGACCAACCTTCACGGCAAGCTTGCAGAATATCTGAATGAATGCCTGGAGACAGCACATACACCTACATGGATGACAACTGGGAGAACTGTACTGATAGAAAAGGATAAATCAAATGGAAGGATACCAGGAAATTACAGACCGATCACCTGCCTACCTATTGTATGGAAGTTGTTGACGTCCATGTTGTCTGTTGAGATATACAGGCACCTGGAAGACAATGATCTGAATGGAGAAGAACAAAAGGGATGTAGAGCAGGATACAGAGGAACGAAAGACCATCTGATGCTTGATAAAGTGATACTGAAGGATTGTAAACAGCGGAAAACCGAAATCGCACTGGGATGGATAGACTACCAAAAAGCGTATGACTTGGTGCCACATTCTTGGATACTGGAAACGCTGAGGATGGGGGTGGCAGAAGGAATAAGGACTCTGCTGTGCAGAAGCATGACGAAGTGGACCACAAATTTAGAATGTGGTGGACATCTGGCTTCGGTGAATATCCAGAGAGGGATATTCCAAGGAGATTCGCTATCATCCTTACTATTCATCATCTGCCTGATACCATTGAGTGTGATGCTGAGAGAGGCTAAGCCGGGGTATAATCTTACAAGAACACCATCTGGTAAGATTAACCACCTGCTATACATGGACGATCTGAAACTATACGGGAAAAACAAAAGTGAATTGGAGTCTTTGAAACAAACTGTAAGAATATACACACAAGACATACGGATGAGGTTCGGAATACAAAAGTGTGCCACCATCGCGATGAAAAGAGGGAAGAAGGCGGATGACGAGATCTTGTTACCTGATGGAGAACACATGGAAGATCTGGGTAATGGGGAGTACAAATACTTGGGTGTTTTGGAGGCGAGTGATATCAAGATGAAGGAAAAGACCAGGAAAGAATAAAAGAGGAGAATCAAACTACTACTGAAATCGAAACTCAATGGTGGCAATGTTATAATAGCAATCAACACATGGACAGTTGCTGTACTCAGATACTCTGGAGGAATCCTTGACTGGACACAGGAAGAATTTCAGAATATGGACAGAAAGACACGCAAACTAATGACCATCAACAGAACGCTACACCCGAGAGCGAATATGGCTAGACTGTACTTGCAGAGAAATGAAGGTGGACGAGGATTGCAATCAGCAGAGGAAACCATCAGAACTGAGGAGCATGGATTGTCGGATTACATCAAAAACGAAGAAAAAGGATATAACAGACTGCTGAAGAGACACGAATAGAAGATCAAAAAGTGAATATCAAAACCAACAGAAAGAATCAAAGGAGAAGCATTGGAAGGAGAAAGCACTACATGGGCAGTATGCCAAGATAGCGGACAAGACAGACATAAAGAGGATTTACAAGTGGTTAAAGAATGGTTATATGAAGAAACAGAGGGACCCATCACCACGGCGCAAGACCAGGCACTACCAACACGATGGAGGAAAGTCAAAATAGAAAAGTAGTCTGAAACATCTTTCTGTAGAATGTGTAACGAGAGAGACGAGACCACGTTCCACATTCTCAGTGAATGTTCCAAGATTGCTCAAACTGAGTATAAGAAGAGGCACGATAAATTAGCAGAGTTGGTCCACTGGAACCTGTGCAAAAGATACGGACTCCAACATGAAAGGAATTGGTACGATCACACGGCAGAGAAGGTGCTAGAGAATGAGAAGGTTAAAATCCTGTGGGATTTTTCAATACAAACAGATCACGTAATATAAGCCCGCAGACCAGACATCGTTGTGAAGGACAAGGAAATGAACCATACTTGGATAATAGACATAGCAGTGCCAGGGGATGCAAGAATAGAAGAAAAGGAGGAGAAAATAGCTAGGAAAATAAGTCGGCTGTGGATGACATCAACGAATGTAGTACCTGTTATTGTTGGATCACTGGGGGCAGTAGGACGACTGGAAGAGGTTTTGAAAATGCTGGAGGTGGTCGAGAAAAAAGTGGACAGACTGTAGTTCTCTGCACTACTAGCATCCGCTAGAATATTAAGGAAGGTGCTGGATATCCCAGGTTAACGGCTTTAACCAGATACCACATGCACAAATGCTATAATAATAATAGCAATAATAATAATAATAATAGTAACAATAATGATAATAATAGCAATAATAATAATAATAATAGTAGTAGTATCATAAATAATGGTAACTGTTACTACATTATTATTGCGGTTATCATTATTATTATAATAATGATAATTATTATTATCATCATAACTAATAATGGAAATAATTTATCTATCATTTGCTCATCTTACTTTTAACCACTTTTCGTGCCAATGCACTCAGCGTGGATAAGCTTCGCCAAGAAAGACTAGAAACTATGAAATACTAGTAAGACTTCCATACTTATTCATTGATATCANTCCCCCCCTAAGACCCCTTACCTTGTTGGAGAGGGGGCGCTGCGGCCTCGGGACCGGGCTGGTGGCGGAGAGGCGCGCGGAGGTGGTGGGGCTGGTGGTGGCCGCGTTGTTGGGGGAGGTGAGCGACGTCAGGCTGGGCATCCCCGTGCCCGTGTCGTAGACGCCGGGCAGGATCCTCAGCCGATTGCCCGGACAAATGCCCTGCCGAGGAGAGGAAGCGGTGAGGCTGGAGGTGGTGGGGGGGCATGGTGGTGGTGACGGTGGTGGTGGTGATATAATCATAATAATAAGCTTAGAAGAACAATAATGATAACAAAATGGTGGTGATAAAATCATAATAATAAGATTAGAAGGACAATAATGATAACAAAATGGTGGTGGTATAATCATAATAATAAGATTAGAAGAACAATAATGATAACAAAAACAATAATAATAATAACAATAATAATGTCAATTAGAACAACATTACTTAGAAATTTGCTTTATTTATCTTGCTAACACTCTAAATGCACGATATTTCCAGCCAGATCCCAAATATGACATTGCACCTTCTATCTACACGGTCTTTTCTTCTCCCCCTTCCCCTTTCCTTCTCTTCTTCGCCCCCCTCCTTCTGCCCACTTCCTAAGGCGAGAGACCCGTGCTGAAGGGATGAACGGCTGGCTTTGCGTCAACCCTGAACGGCCTTCGCCCTCCCTCCGCTCTTCCCTCTTCGCCCTCTCCACAACCTACAACTCACCCACAACGCCCTACAACCTGACACCTAACACATTCTTCCCTAATCGTGAACTCACTCTCACCCTTTTCACCACAACACTTCACCACAGTGCTGTACGACCCTCGATGCCCTGGCACAGTCACTCGCTTCGCCCATGAGCCAGTCTGGAAACCCACAAACATCGCCCTATGAACCGGGAAGACGTCCTTCACCCCGGGGGCTTCCCTCCCTCGCCCCGCCCCTTCGCCGTATTATGAATACTCCGCTAATGACCTCAGATGTGGGCGCGGCTGAATTTTCTCGACAAATCAATACTGCTCCTCAGAGGGAGACCTCGGCGTTTCTCGACGAGTGAATATTAAATCGCGTAGCTCTAATTACTATATGGGGCGATGCAGGCAGATGTTAATATATCTTAATTTAATCTAATATAATTTAGCATCTCTGGCGCTGATATTTCCACATAAATATACTACAAACTCTACACATTTTATCTAAAAAAAAGAGATAACTTATTGGTCCTGAGAAAAAAAATCATCGCATATTCACCAAGCAAATCCTGATTGCTACATAAAGCAGACAAAATTCATCCTTTTTATTCATCAAACCTATACTTCATAGAATACCAGAAGACAAAAAAAAAATCAGGGTCTTTCTTGTCCTTGTTTTTTTACCGGTGCTTTAATAATAATAATAATAATTATAATAATAATAATAATAATAATAATAATAATAATAGTAGTAGTAATAATAATAATAATAGTAATAATAATAATAATAATGACAATAGTAGTAGTAGTAGTAGTAATTTCAAGTTTGCAGTGATAGGGTATTGCGACTCCAGTCAAATTATGACTAACCGATTGTTATGTTTCTAAACAATCAAACTGCTGTTCTGCTACCTTACAACTCCATCTAACTAACCACCATAGCCCTGTAACATATAAAAGTCTCTAGCCCTTGCACAAACCCCTAAACAAGACCAGATCAAAGTTCTTTCCTCCAGTCTTATGAGAATTAAACCATTGCTATCAATGAACTTTTGAAAATAGCGTCAACATCTGGGAGTATAATTCATATCTCATTCACCAGTCACTGTTGCGTCCATGTCTAATTTACCAGAGAGAGGTTTAAATACCTAGGAAACTGAAAATTAGGTTTAATGGGACAGGGACACCAACTCACGGAGTTTATTTGAAGTAACACGGGGATATAATTTCATTTGTACTTTTTTGTAGGCTTTAGAGCTGTCAGATTATAGAAGGGAGGCGAAATGACCCAACCTAATTGACTAATTCTTTCTTTCTTTCTCTCATTTTCTTTCTCTCTCTCTCTCTCTCTCTNATGTTAAATATATCTTAATTTTTAATCTAATATATATTGGTAGCATCTCTGGCGCTGAATATTTCCACATAAATATACTACAAACTGCTACACTTTATTAAAAAAAAGATAACTCATTGGTCAGAGAAAAATTCATCGCATATTCACCAAGCAAATCCTGAATGCTACAATGAAGCAGACAAAATTCATCCTTTTTATTCATCAAACCTATACTTCATAGAATACCAGAAGACCAAAAAAATCAGGGTCTTTTCCTGTGCTTGTTTTTTACAGTTCATAATAATATAATAATAATCATAATAATAATAATAATATAATATAAATTAGTAGTAGTAGTAGTAGAAGTAGCAGTAGTAGTAATTTCAAGTTTGCAGAAGATGATATATTGCGACTCCAGTCAAATTATGACTAACCGATTGTTATGTTTCTAAACCATCAAACTGCTGTTCTGTTACCTTAAAACTCCATCTAACTAACCACCATAGCCCTGTAACATATAAAAGTCTCTAGCCCTTGCACAAACCCCTAAACAAGACCAGATCAAAGTTCTTTCCTCCAGTCTTATGAGAATTAAACCATTGCTATCAATGAACTTTTGAAAATAGCGTCAACATCTGGGAGTATAATTCATATCTCATTCACCAGTCACTGTTGCGTCCATGTCTAATCTACCAGAGAGAGATTTAAATACCCAGGAAACTGAAAATTAGGTTTAAAGGGACAGGGACACCAACTCACGGAGTTTATTTGAAGTGACACCAGGATATCATTTTCAACTGTACTTTTTTTGTAGGCTTTAGAGCTGTCAGATTATAGAAGGGAGGCGAAAAGACTCAACCTAATTGACGTAATTCTCTCTCTCTCTCTCTCTCTCTCTCTCTCTCTCTCTCTCTCTCTCTTTCTCTCTCTTCTCTCTCTCTCCTATGTCTGTCTGGTCCCATCTCTTCTTTTCTGCTCTCTCTCTGCTTTTCTCCTCCTCCTTTCTTTTTTTTCTTTTTCTTTCTCTGGTTTCTCTCTCTGGCAGTCTGTTTGTCTTTCTCAAAGAAATCCTAAAAATACTGACAAAAAATAAATACTAAGCTAAAATACTTCTACCTTCCTATCAACCCTCCCCCATCCCCCATAATCACATAGAAAACCTAAACCAAAAACGACAGCTCATCTACACCCCGCCCCACCCCCACCACCCCCAAAGACCCCCAGAGACCCCAGAGACCCCCAAAGACCGCCCCAAGGAAGACCACAAGAAGCAGGGAGGGAGGGAGGGAAGGAAGCAGGAAGGGAGGGAAAGGAGGGAAGGAAGGAGGGACGGAGGGAGGAAGGGAGGGGGGATTCCTACCTGGCGCCCCCTGAGAGAGCAGAGCCACCATCCTTCCAGGCCAGCTGTGTTCTGGCTCGAGGACCGTGAGCACGTCGTCGCGGCGGAAGGCCAGCTCGTCCGGAGACTCTGCCCACGGTTGTCGTACATGGCCCGTGCTGTGCAGTTCTGGAAGGAGGGAGGCGGGGTTAGGAAAAATGTATTTCAGAAGGCAGATGTACGATATAAATATTATATACTACACACACACACACACAGCACGCGCACGCACACACACACACACACACACACACACACACACACCACACACACACCACACACATACACACACACACACACATATACATAAAGTAAATAAATACATATATACATATATATATATATATAATATATATATATATATATATATATATATATATATAATATATAATATAACCACACACACAAACATGTATAATAATAATGGTAATAATAATAATATAATACTTCAAAACAATAATAATAATGATAGCGATAATAATAATAAACATAATAGCAATAACAACAACAATAATAATAATAATAATAATAATAATAATAATATAATAATAATAATAATAATAATAATAATAATAAAAATATTATTATTATTATCAGCAATGATAATATATCAATAAAAATAATGATGGTGACGATCGGACTCCACACGCCCCACGCCCACTGTTTCGCTTCTCTTTTTCCTTCTGTTTCGTGTCTGTTCTGTTTCGCTTCTCTTTTTCTTCTGTTTCGTGTCTGTTCTGTTTCAAGGCGCGTGGGATGCCGCTTCGAGAACTCTGCACCGGAGCGGTCTCGTTTTAAGAAAGGACTGACCCTCGTTTTCGGGTTATATAAATGTAACCCTCCCTTTCTTTCTTTCTCTTCCTTTCTTTTTCTTTTTCTTTTCTCTTTTCCCTTTTCTATTCTTTCTTTGTGTGTGTGTGTGTGTGTTTGTTTTGTGTGTGTGTGTGTGTGTGTGTGTGTGTGTGTGTGTGTGTGGTGTGTGTGTGTGTGTGTGGTGTGTGTGGTGTGGTGTGTGTGTGTGTGTGTGTGTGTGAGTGAGTGTGAGTGAGTGAGTGAGTGAGTGAGTGAGTTGAGTGAGTGAGTGAGTGAGTGAGTGAGTGAGTGAGTGTCCCTCCCGAACTCCCCCAGCCTAGCCTATTTCCCCCGCCCGAGGACCCCCCCCCCCAAACCCCCAGCTGAGCCTATTTCCCCCCCTCCCTCAGACCCCCCCACTAACCCCTCCCAGAGCCCGCTCCCCCTAACACATCCAAACCTCCCAGCCTAGCCTATTTCCCCCCCCCTCCCTCTAAGCCCCCTCCCCGCTCCCCCCCTGCCCACCCCCCCCAGCCTCTTCCCCGCCCCCCCCCCGGCTCGACTGACTATACGCGAGTCGAATTCCCCGTCGGGCGAGTGCAACCTGTCACGCGAAACCCTGAGGCCAGCTGCTGGAAATATACGACTGGCATGAGGTCATGAGTGTGTGTCACCTTTGGAGCTGCTAGCGAGTGGGGGAGGTAGGGCAGGGGGAGGGAGCGTGAGGAAATTGGGGGTGGTGTGGGAGGGGTGAGGAGGAGTGAGAGAGGGGAGAGGAGGTGGGGAGAGGGGAACAGGAGAGGAGCAGGGGAGGAGATAGGGGAGAGGGGAGGAGCAGAGAGAAGAGAGAGGGGGTAAAGGAGGGGGCACAGGGAGAGTGAGAGGGAAAGGGTTGGGAGAGGAAAATGGAGGGGGGGGCATGGGGAGGGGCAGGGGAGAAAGTGAGAGAGGGGGATTGAGGGGAAGGAGAAGGCTGCAGAAGGGAGAGGATAGGGATAGAAAAAGGGAGAGTAAAGAAGAATTTGAAATGGATAAGTACGGGTAAGGGTACAAGATGAGGAGGACGGGGAGGGGGTAGGAGAGCGGGGTAGGATTTGGGTAAGGGTCAGACGACGAGGGGGGTAAGGCATGACAATGACACTGAATAACACGTTTAATTCGTCCGGTTATTCCATTGCACATTAGCCACATTCTCTCACTCCCTCACTTATACAACTCATTCACTCACTCGCTCCCTCCTTCCCCCCTTCCCCTTCCTTTCTCCCCCTCCCTCTTCCTCCTTCTCCCCCTCCCTCTTCTCCTCTCCCTCTTCTCCAACTTTTTCCTCTTCCTTCTCTTTCTCTCTCCCTTCTATATCTTTCCCTTTCCCCTTCCCTCCTTCTCCCTCTCTCCCCCCCTCTTCCCCTCCCTCCCCTCTCCCTCCCCTCTCCTTCCTCTCCCTCTCCTCCCTCTCCAAAACCTCTGTCTACACCAATAAAAAAGAGAAATTCCACACCGACCGGGCCATAAGCGCAACACAGCCCCACCATGAGCCGGGACAGGCAGGCAGGTCATGAGCTCAGAGAGGACAGAAGCGGGAAAAAAGAAGACAGAGAGAAGAGGAGAGGAGAGAGAGAGAGAGGAGGCAGGGAGGAGGGAGGGAGGAGGGAGGAGAGAGAGGAGGGAGGAGGGAGAGAGAGAGAGAGAGAGAGAGAGAGAGAGAGAGAGAGAGAGAGAGGAGAGAGAGAGAGAGGAGAGAGAGAGAGAGAAAGAGAGATAGGAGGAGGGAAGGGGTTGGGGAAGTAGAGGAGGGGGTCATGGGAGGAGGGGAAAGGGACTTGGGGAAGAGAAAGAAAAGAAGAGAAGAGGGAAACAGGAAAGGAGGAGGAGAGGAGGAGGAGAAGGAGGAGAAGAGGAGGAGAGGAGAAAGGAAGAAAGAAGAAAGGGAAAAGGAGAGAAGCAGGAGACGCAGACGGAAAAAAGGAAAGGCGAAGAAGAGAGGAGGAGGATAAAAATACGAAGAAGAAGAAGACGAATAAGAAGAGAAAGGACAAGGAAGGCGAGGGCGGCCGGAGCGAGGCGAGGCGCGCGGGCGCGGCGGCGTGAGGGCGTGGTCCGACCCACTGCCAGCGACATCCAAACCGCACATGATTAGACCCATTAGGAGAGAGAGTCAGAGCGTGGAAGGGGCCCGGCCGCGGGCTACGAAGGGGCGCCGCGGTGTCTGCCCGCCGGTGGAAGGGGGGCACGGCCGGGTATCTGTCGGGGGCGTGTGTGTGTGGCGCCCTCTGTTCTGCCTCGAGTCCTTCGGCGCCACAATTCCCGCCCGCTTTATCAGTTAGCTGTTGTGTCCCCGCCGAGCCACAGGCGCCCGACTGTTCTTGTTTGGGGGGAAAAAATTATCTTTTATGGAGCTTCGCAATCTCGAGCGGACAGAGAGGGACAAATTGTGAGAAAGAGGGGGAGGGGGGAGGGGAGGGAGAGAAGAGAGGGAGAGGAGAGGGGGAGAGGGAGAGGGAGTGAGAGGAGAGGAGAGGGAGAGAGGGAGAGGGAGGGGAGAGGGGAGAGGGAGTGAGAGGGAGAGGGAGCGAGACGGAGAGGGAGTGAGAGGGAGACGGAGAGGGAGTGAAGAGTGAGAGAGAGGAGAGGGAGAGGAGAAGGAGAGAGAGAGAAGAAGAGAAACGAAAGAAAAGAGAGAGAGAAAGAGAAGACTACGGACAGACGCAGAGAAACAAAGAGACAGCCACCAGAAGATCAGAAGATCAATACCCCCACCCATCAACCGCCTCAACACGAACGCCCACAATGGTCAACATGCTATTAACTCTCACACTCGTCCGTAATCTCTCCTCCTCTTATTCTTTTTCTTCTTGTAATTATTATGATTTTTTAAGATATTCTTTTTTTTCTTCTTCTTCATCTTCCGCTTCCCCTTCTGTCTTTCCTTTCCTCCTTAACACTCTACCTCCCGTCTCCTTCTTCTCTCTTCTCCTTTCTCCTTCTCCTTCTCCTTCTCCTTCTCCTTCTCCTTCTCCTTCTCCTTCTCCTTCTCCTTCTCCTTCTCCTTCTCTTTCTCCTTCTCCTTCTTCTTCTTCTTCTTCTTCTTCTTCTTCTCCTCCTCCTCCCCATCTCTCCCCATCCCCCTCCACCCCATCCACCTACCCCTCCTCCCCTCCCCTCCCCATCCCTCCCCACCCCTCCTCCACCTCCAAGCCACAGCAATATCCGCTTCCAAGTGGCACTTCACACCGCACCCCCCCTCCCCCCACCCCCGCCCCCACCCCAAGACCTCCTCTCTGAGCCTGAATCCAACCTGAGAGTAAGGAAGGTGATATTCTGAGAGCTTCTAGGAAGACTATTTATAAAAATGATGAGAATGGGGAAAGATAAGATGAACAAAAAAAGAGCTACACAATGAAGAAGACATTTTATAAAGATATTTAAGTTTGGGAGAGACAGAAAGTGGGAGGGAAAGAGAGAGAGAAGAAGGAGGAAGGGTGGAGGGAGGGAGGGAGAGAGGAGAAGAGAGGGTTGAGGAGTGTGAGAGAGAGAGAGAGAGAGAGAGAGAGAGAGAGAGAGAGAAGAGAGAAGAGAGAGAGAGAGAGAAGAAGAGAGAGAGAGAGAAAGAGAGAGGAGAGAGAGAGAGAAGAGAGAGAGAGAAAAGAAAGAAGAGAGAAAAGAGAGAGAGAAGAGAAAGAGACAGAACAGAGACGGCCAGAAGAGAGAGAGAAGGGACAGCAGCAGACAGACAGACAGACAGAGACAGAGCCAGAATGGGGTCTACGAGGCAGGTCGATAATAATAAAAATCAGGGGAGAGCAGGGAGGCACGGAGGGAGGGGAGGGGCGAGGGCAAAGAAGATCGGATTTCGAAGGGGAGGGAAGAGTGAGAGGGGAAAGCGAGAGGGAAAGAGGAGGGAGAGGGCGAGGGTCGCAGACACGGGCGGGGGAAATAGACCTGAGTAATGGCAACCTCCAAAGTATATATATATATTTTCTTGATCTTCAAACTTGCAATCCGAGACAAGCATTTCCGACGCAGAGGCACTGGTGATAGAAGAATAAAATAAAACAAATAAAAACAATAAATAAATCTCATAAAATAAGCCAGGCAAAATAAACAAAACAAATAAATAAATAAATCTCATAAAATAAGTAGCAAAAATAAACAAACAAACAAAAAATAAAATAAATAAAAAATATGAATAATAATTAAACAAATAAATAATAAATCTCACTAAATAAGCCAGGCAAATTCTTTACGCTTTGTTAATGAGGACTGCGCATGGTCAACACAACAAGCGTATGGCCCTCTTTCTTTTCTCTTTTTCTTCTCCTTCTCCTTCTTTCCTATCCTTCTTCCTCTTTTCCTCGCCTTTTTTTTTTTTCTAATTCTCCTTCTTCTCCTCC